TTTTTTTAATATTACTGCATCAAAATGATTAAGAAACAAATAAAATTAAAATTAAAACTTAAAAAATAAAAAATGCCGTTGGACTACAATGCCAAACACCATCTAGATGCATAACGGAAAAGTGATTTCTAATAGTACTAATAAGTGAGATAAGATATTATTATTAAATTTGACTCAATTTAACTAAATTGATTCGAAACCTGATGAAACCTGATCTTAATCTAGATTAGGTGTAAAAAATCAAATTAAAGTTGATTTAATTTAAGTTGATCAATAAAAAAATAAACTCTATTTACTTTAAAAAAAATTAAAATTAAAAATAACAATTTTCTTTTTAATTTGAGCGGGGTCAACCCACTTATCTATAAACCTGATCTTATGCCATATCAACTCTCGTGACAAGACGTCCTTAGAAGTAAAGCTAGTTTCCCCTTATATAGAGTCTTACCAGGGCGAGGCATGAATAAGTCCAACACGATCAGTGCGGCAAGTCATTTGAGTGATTTCAGATTTCTCATTATACACAGTACTTGCAGTTAGAATTTGTGCAAATAACCATGTGATTGCAGCTGTGAACAACACTGCAAAACGATCACATATAGGCCTCTTCGACTGTAAATAACGAGGAAGATACTGCAAAGGCATAAGCAAATTACCATATCACTTGGCATCAAAGGAAATTAAGAAAAAATCAAAGCACTAATTGATAATGCCCTTAGTTTCTAAACTAGCAAAATTAAGTATATGATGAAAAGAATTAATAAATATATAAATAAATAAAATAACTTTTGATACTTACTTGTGAGAAAAAAACCATTATTAGCATTCCTGGAAGCCCAATCTCAACACATTTCGCCAGCTAAATGAAAGGGATGATAAAAGAGTTTAATTAGTTAGAATTTATTCCAGAAATTTGTGCAATTGATTGAGTAAAATATAAAAATATAAACTATAGGATTCGGAATGCAATACCGTGGGAAAGCCTAGATAGTAGAGCCCAAGTCCAGCAAAAGTTACACAAGGAACAATAGAAACAGGACTAAGGAACCTTGAAGAAACAAAAAAAGTCCAAGTCAAATGATGCTATAACCTAAACGATGATTTGAATTTATGGAATAGTGGAATTAAAAAAAAAATTCAGGCTCCGAAACGAATAAATGATTTAAGGGCAGTCTAACAATATTTTTAAAAAATTAATTTTTATATTTTTGAATCATTTATTAATATTAAAAATAAATTTTTAAAAAAATTAAAAAATATTATTCTAATATATTTTCAAATAAAAATATTTTAACTGTTGTCGTTATCTTAGATACTATTGTTTAAAAAAAAAAACTGCCTTTATATAAAGAATGCATGAGCACGTGTGAACGTTGAAAAAAATATAGTAAAATATTTATTCTAAAAGTTATCATCAAAGAACTTTCAGCGACTTACCTCACTGCATTTCTCCATAAACCCAAAAATCCCATAATTATTTGAAAACAACCTGCAAGAATCAGAGCTCCTTGTATTGCTCTCATTGTTTGTACAAATCTCTACACCAAAAAAAGACCCAGTAAGACTAGAATGCAATAAAAGTCAAGTGAAATGAAGAGAAAAAGCAGTGTGAAGCTTCACCACATCGTTATCCAAGCATGAAGTATGTCTGCTAGCAAGGACAATTGAGGTAGTCGGTATCATGTATGCATATGAACCCACTGCTACCGAAGGAAGACGGGTACCGAATAAAGTTTGAAAAAGTGTGCTCAATCCTGAAGTGAAGAGCAAGGTCTGTATTACTCTAGCCTTCTCAGCCTGTGACATTTAAACCAGATCCATAACACTAAAAAAATACAAGAAAATATATTGAGAAATACAAAATACACATAGTAATGTCTGTGTTACTTACATCACCACCACCCATTCGAGGAACGATTATGCTCGGTATCATAACTGTCATGCCAAGAGTCAAGAGATAATGTTGGAAACCTAATATGATAGCTTCAGCTGCACGCAGGAAATACAATGGTTGATTTTCTTTTGACACGATTAAGTGCTTGATCCGTAGCGCGGCCAACCGTTGACCGCGCAGTTGGCTATGCTATCAAACAAAGTTTAAATAAAATTGTTCAAAGCATAATCATGAAATTCGATATCAGAATTAACTCGATGGAAAGGAAAGGATAAAAGAAAGAAAGCAACCCTAAAAAATGCATGAAATAAGGAGATTGTAGAGCATACGCCATGGAGGAGGACTATTTATGCAGTATTGGACTCCGGGTAGTTGCTCTTTCACTGGATATGGTTGCAACTCAGGTTTTTTGTTAGCATCACCTCCACCACCATCACCTCGTCCACCACCACCTCCACCTCTGCCTCTGCCTCCACCACCAGCACCAAAACAAACATTGATGCCACCACCGAAACAAGTATTGCAACTTTGGGCCATGTATTTATTTTAGACACTTGCACAGAGCAGGATTTGCCGAGAGAATGTATGTTTTTTTAAACCGTTGGTAAGCAGAGAGTGTAAGTTGCTAAAGAGGGAATTGTAAAAGCATCGACTTTTGTTTTCCTTCGGTGGAAGGACGACTGTTACGTTTCTGCATTAACTGCTATCAATTCTGCGAGGCATTAAAAATATTTATTAATTGCCTGAATTCAAAATTAAAATTGATTAATAAATGTGCAATCATAATCTTTTTTTTCTTTGTTGATAGGTGTCGAATCATAATCTTTAAGCAATAAGAGAATAATTAATTTCTTAAATGATCATCAATGATTTTAATAAATGTACATATAAGAACAAAATCTTTTGTAATAATAGATTATCCTAAATTTCTGGTTATTGTAACATAAGTTACTAACCTAGGCCTGGAGTGTACCATACTAGATTGAAGAAAAAAATCCGATTAATTAGATAAAAACTAGGATTGACCTAGTCAAAACCCAACCCTTAACTTGTTGTCTTTAAAAAAATAAAAAAAAAATAGAAGTTAACCCTGACGTGAGGCAAAGTCCCATGACCGGGGGTCGTCTACGGTCAGGTTTTTCAACTATAGCCTCGTTGTCTATTGGCACGGCCTTTCCGTTTTTTTCATGTGAAAATACTAAATTTATCTTCAAATTTCAAAAGGCTAATCCAGCTAGACCCATCTACACCCTCCATACTCTATCTTCTTTCCCCACAGGCTCACATCTATGATTTAGACATCAACAAAACCCACCATGAACATCTCAAAATTCACGCCCCGCTCCGCTGCATCGACCACCACCACCCGGACACCCGCAGCCCATGAGAATTGCTAGTTTGAGGACAAGCCGTGAAAATCTCTCGGGCTTTCTAAGCCCACTATCAATTCTCCCATTCATCCTATACCCCTATAATTATACTCAGATTACACTCTCACCAATTCCAGTCTTCAACCAATCATGTGTTTTGCTTGGATTGGTGGGGTTTTATTGGAAAAGGCTTAAGAAGCCTAGACTACTTCACCAAGGGCAGGCACACTACCTGTTTGATAAATCGACCGCATGGATCCTCACATGGCACAAGCACAACTCCAAGACCGTAATCAAGTATGTTACCATACTTGCTGCCCCTTGTCTTCCATTTTTCTTTATATATTTTATTAATTAAATTAGCCCATCATAATCAAAACGAGATGGGCTTTGGTGATGAATATGAAGCCATGGAAATTACTGGTAGGCTTCGAGTTCTTGGGAATGGAGAACCTCTTCTTTGTAAAAATCGTATTCCACGTTTCTCCGTTTCATTCATCACCCCGGAAGCTCCATTAATTATTATATTCATGTTTTGATTGCTAAAGCACTAGAAAAAGACCTCGATAAGCGACACAAGAACTCGAGTTCTAGCAAAATAATGGCGACGATGATCGAAATCATCAAACCATATCACTTTCCTTCTTCCCCACATCAAAATACTATCAGAAAATTGTTTCTTTCATTCAATTCATCAACACTCACCAATGCCTATAAGTTGTTATCCTAGATTGTGTAGAAATCATGAACTCAACGGTATGCTCTTCACCATCTTCCTTTTCCATTGAAGCGGTACCATGACCACTTGGTGATATATGCCTATATGGTAATTCTGTGTCGTCAGTATAGTTCAATAGGAGCATAAGACGCCACACAAGCTTCAAAATGGCAAAAGGAATTGCGAGCGGTACCAATAACAATCGTTGATGGTATTGACGACCGCACTAACTGGAAGCAGGTGTGGGAGAAAACTTCAGTAAAGTTTATAGCCAACATGGGTGTAATTAAACATATCTTTGCCCACAATTTGTAGATAATATTTCTAAAAACTTTGGGAATTTATTCCCTCTATACAGGCATAAAGTGTAACAGGAACTTATGATATAGTGTAGCTTCAAGTAACCTTGCAACCTTCCAAAAGTAATAGAACTCTTGTACTTCGCTTCTTGGTATGAATCAGCAACATCTTGTCGCTTCACAACAAGCAGGTAAATCCACAGGGTAATTGTAGAGATAATATTAAGTAATTCTATTTATTAAAATCATAATAACTACACAGCACAGTTATTCTAACATCTCCACAGAAACTTGTGAAGATATCTGCACTATGCAAGAGGATCAAATGAAGTCATCGTGTTCATACGCACAGTTCGTAAATGTTGGCCCTTAAAGAAGGAAAATGCTATGCATGCAAAGAAATCATGCCAACACTCCACACAAGTGCATGCAGCAAGAGTTTGTATCAAGATTAAATGACTGACTGGGAATGAAATGAGCAAACACCACATGTGTTTATATGAATTGTTTCTAAGTAAACCATTGCTCATTATAAGGCAAGAACAAATTCGATTTTCGTTGGAAACTGGTAATTCATCGAGGTAAAACATGTTCACGATCTATCTCTTCACCAAAGAGAACTTTTTAAATAATGAGAATCTCAGAAAAGCCCCTCGAATTAGACAAGACACAAGGCAAAGTCACATACCACATTCTCTAGCACAATATAGCACAATATATCAGAAAGCACAAATTCTATTGTTGGAAAATGTTAATAATACTAAAGTGAAACATGTTTATGATTTATCCCTTTGTCACAGACAACATTTTCTGCGACGAGGAACTCAGAAAAGCACTTAGAATCTTAAACAAGTCACATATATAATCATTCCTAAGAGAAAGTAAACTTATCTATATGCCATTCATTGTTCCATATAATCTTCAAAAGATCATATCCCTTAATGCTTTTATCAAGCTACCCCTAATCGTTCCATATAATTTTCACACAATTCGACTTTTATAATAAAGTATCCGATATGCCATTCCTTCACTACAGGCTACAGCATCACAGCTTGAATGTTTCCACTGCCCCGTATAAGCCCAATTCCCAAACCCAGCAATCAACTAGCTTAACGATAGCCAGCTCTCAAACATTCACGATCTCTACATCCCAACAAAACAAAGCAAATGCAATATAAGCAAACAAAAACAAAATAAAAACTTTGCAGGCCAATTAACAACAGGGAAGGGAGTCATTACCGCTCCAATTACTCCAATTCCTTCGAAGAAACACTCGAGCTTTGATTCCTACCCATATCACCACCATCACCAACCTCTTCTTTCTTCATCCAAACCTTTGCATTATGTCTCTCCTTCCACTGTCCATATCCACTGCCATGCCCTCCTGCATACCGCACATTTTCTCCATTAAACCTACCATCACCTCCCCTATACTGCCCATTACCACGATAACCACCATCATTATAACCTCTGTAATTCCAATGACCTCTATTAGCATAGCCATTGTAGTCTTTAGACTCTCTATTACTAATTCTACCATTAATAACCTTATTTGGCGTCTTTGATTTTTCACTCTTTCTCTCAACTGAAAGATTCCCGATTTCTTTCTCAATCTCCACCGTCTGATTATTCTCCTCGGCCGCTTTTTCAGCCTTTTCCCTGTACTCCACCCGCATTTCCCTCTTTCGCTCACATTCACCATTATTCTTCTCACTTTTCACTAGTAGCGCTTGCGCCCCACTCCCCGTCAACCCTCCCTCCTCCTCTTTTGCCCTAACTTCTCCTTTCATCCCCTTCCCCTTCCCCTTCCCCTTCCACTTCCAGCTCTTCTTCGTTTTCATTTCTTCTCTCTTCTCGTTCACATTTTTTTCAAGAACAGCAACCGCCAAAGCCTTCAATTCCTCGACATTTTTGCTAATTAAATTCCCCGTCACCTCCCCCTCCTCCTCTTGTGCCCTGGCCTCTCCTTTTTTCTTCCCCTTCATCTTCCAGCTCTTCTTCGTTTTCATTTCTTCTCTCTTCTCATTCACATTTTCTTCAAGAACAGCAACCGACACAGCCTTCGATTCCTCGACATTTGTGCCAATTAAATTCCCCGTCACCTCCCCCTCCTCTTGTGCCCTGGCTTCTCCTTTCTTCTGCTTCTCC